CATGCACTTTGCTAGGCTCCAGGCATACAAAACTAAGACAAGGTCCCTAATTCTAGAAACTCTCGGTGGAAGGAACCAGAAACAAACCAGAGGGTTGGGGGAGCAGGGAGGGGTCCTGGGCTGGAAGGCTGGGGCGGACGGACGCTGTTCCAGGTCCTTCAGTGTCTTCATCATGTATCGACAGCCTTATGAGTTTCCATAACAGTGGGCATGCCCCTAACGGATTCAGTACAAAAAAATATTCCAGGGCCAAATGAAAATGACCTTTCGATCATTGACCCAATTTGGCTATTTATGCCACCTCTCCCCTCCTCTGGCCTGGACAACTGAAATCTGTATGCTCTCAGGGGGATGTTTATGGATGAGCCAGCGCTGGAGCTGGCGAGGCAGTGGGACAGACAGTGGGCCCGGAGCCCTGGAGGCACGCATGGAGCTCTTGTTTCAGTTCTGTCGTGAAATCGCAGCGGACACTCTGCGAAGTCACTTCACCTCTCACTATTTCCTCATCTATGAGGTGGGAACACAAGCGAGCTTACTTCTCTCTCACTTGGTTGTAGATTCTGTTTGTGAAGGTGTTGAAAACGCAAAGTGTGCTAGTCAATAGTCACACACAAAGAGGCACAGGCTGACCGTGGCCATAAACTGTTTTCACATTAAAACTATGTTATATTGCTCAAGAGTTCAAATAAGCTCAAGGAGAAGCTGATAGCGGTGACGACCAACAGAAGGCAGATTCACGTACCAGACTGAGTTGCCAAAAAGATGGTAAATCAGCCAGACGTGTGTATGTCTTCCTCATACAAAGGCTGATTGAGCACCAGCAAACATGTAGAATCTGCAAAGTCCAATGCAATCTGAACAGATTTCTTGGGATCTGACATTAAAAAGCAATTGCCAGGGGCCTGCCCAGTGGCGTAGCGGTTAAGTTCGCGCACTCCGCTTTGGCAGCCCGGGGTTTGCAGGTTCAGATCCCAGGCGCAGACCTATGCACTGCTCATCAGCCATGCTGTGGTGACATCCCACATACAAAAAATAAAGGAAGATGGGCACAGATGTTAGCTCAGGGCCAATCTTCCTCACTGAAAAAAAAAACAATTGCCAGGTAGTTTACCCTCTGACAAAGCTTGTTTAGGGGGACACCTACTCTGGGAAGTACAAGAAGTAATAGGAGGAAGTTAAGGGAAATTACTGCCACATGCTGCAGAGACACACTGGAAGGCAAACACAGCCCAAAGAAAGGGCTCCACTGGAAAAAACGTTGAAAGCAGACTGTACAACTAGTGCCATGCTCCAAGATCAATAAAACTTGAACAATGAAAAAAATGAAAAAGACCTTGCCCGACCCCAGGGTTAGTGAGGGATGCCAGGAAAGAGCTGTGCATTAACACGACTCCTGAGAGCAGAGAGCAGTACTACTCAAGGGGCATGATGTCTTGATGTGAGGACCAAGGACCCTCGGCCTTGAGCAGAAATGGAGTGTTATACTAGAGACATGGGAGTGGCTCGAGCATGAGCACAGCCTCCTGTGCGTCCAGCGCTCACAGACTCATCCCGCTGATGGGAGATGAAGTCTCTCACAGAACCCTGATTTCTTTTTTTTTTTAGATTTTTTTCTTAAAGATTGGCACCTGAGCTAACATCTGTTGTCAATCTTTTTTTTTTCTTCTCCCCAAAGCCCCCTAGTACCTAGTTGTATTTTCTAGTTGTAAGTCCTAGTTCTTCTATGTGGTACGCCACCTCAGCATGGCCTGATGAGCAGTGCTGGGTCTGCGCCCAGGATGTGAACTAGCGAAACCCTGGGCCGCCAATGCAGAGCACGGGGCCAGCCCCTGGGTTTCCTCTTTCTTTTTCTTCGCAAATCACAGGGAAACGGAACTCTGTACCTGCTACATCTCCCACAGCTGGAAGCTCTAAGAACGACTGCTGACAGCCAGCCGCCGTTTCCATTTAGGAATCGCTGTAACACCTGGCTTCCACAGCAGGACAGGAGAGGAGGCCGCGGAGACTCCCGAGCCGCACCGCAGCAAGGCTGCGCACACCACAGTCATCTCCACGCCGCACAGGAGACAAGAACAGACTCCTCTGGGACACAAGCCAGAATTTCCGGTTAAAACGGTGCTCGCACATTGATATACAATATACAAAATACCACTAGGAAAAACCTGAGGGCATGTGGTGCCAGCTGCTGGGAAGTGGGCACAGGATTAGAGTAGAATAATATCTCTGAGTTTTTAGACAATTTTAGACGTCAAGATATGGTGTTCAGGGCCTACTCCTGAAGATGCTGCTAAACAAAGCCAAAAATAAGTACCCTGAGAGACAAAGCACGTTCTAAGAGGCCAAACATTCTATCTGGGTGAGGGGATGACTTCACTCAGGAAGCTCATGAACACAGAAAACAGCGACAGCAACAGTAATTTCCTTGAATATATTCAACGTTCAAGGCCAGGCCTTTTCCTGTACAAAACATCGTAATTCTGCCACTACTCCAGAGAAATCCAATAAATAATTTTACAGCGAGGGCCGACGAGACCTGATGCCCCCAGGTCCCAGGCAGCTGCAGCAGCCAAGGCCTGGAGCGCCGACACCTCCGCCGCCCGCCTGCAGTTCTGTCTTCTTCAGCCGGCGTTTCCAACTGCTTCGGCGGACAGCCCCGTCTGGAGACGCCCGCGGTGAAGGAAGCCAAGAGGACAACACAAGAAGAGGGCAGAGCCAAAGGCTCCACGCGGCACCGCTCTCCTCTTCCCACCGACGGTGACCGCCGGGGCCAGCTCAGGCTCCAGGTCCCTCAGCGGCGACTCCTGGCCCACGAGGCAGGTCTTCTGCACCCCTCAGGCGGGCAAGAGCTCGGGGGGGCTCTCCCCGTAGCAATACTTCGCTATGGGATCCCTATAGGTGTTCTCGTGCTGCACGCTCTGTGGGCAAAGGGAAGAGAAGAGCCCGTGAGCGAGCGGTCCCACGCCCCCCTCTAGAACAGCCCGAGCCAAAGCAGGCTGCTGTCAGACACCTCCCGCAGGAGCCTGGCGAGCCCAGCTCCAAACGGCGCTCAAGGCTCCAAGGCACTTTCTGGAACAAAGGCGGGTGCACAGAATGCCAATGAACAAGAAACGGACATAACACCATGCGTGACTGTTTCTTTTTGTGGACACCAGTGAGTTTTTTTTTAACAACCTAGCTGTGACCTGGGCAACTGAAAACAATTAATTTTTCTCAAATGATTTTAAGTTGGATTAAGATCCAATGGGCGTTTATGCCCCGACCCTGTGCTTCAGAGAAATTCCGTTCCTGCTACCGAACCCTGCAGAGATGAAGGAGAGCCACCTCAAGTCACCTTCATCAAGTTGTCTGTACCTACAGGTTTGGCACACGAGCCAAGGCCCACACCACCACACAAGCCTCACTTGGATCAGCAAATTGGAAGTCCGATTTAAAACAGACAACCCTCTGATGGCTAATTTTTCAGCAATTTGTTTTCATACAAGCAACTTGAGTTTTTGGCTAGTCTAGAGTTCATTAACTGGCCCAAGAGCAATGCTCAACATCTAAATTGTAAGTATTATCCAATTTATAAACAGCCCAATCTTCTCTTTCTTGGGATACTGCTATCAAAACAAGCAGACAACTGGGAAATCTCTCTTTACAATAAAAAGCCCAAGTCAGAAAGTTCAGCATCTTCACTGAAAACTGGCAATAACTCCTGGTATTACCAGTTAAGGAGAGAAAATACTTCGCCCTTCCTAGCATTTCTGAGAACAGAGTGCATCTGATCAGCATGAGTCGCGTGCACAGCCTTCCTCCACGTTCCCTCTAAAGCCCATGCAAGTGGGAAGCTCTTCCAGCAAAACAAGACCACCAGGAATTTCCTCATCATCTCAAGTGCTCACTGTAATCCCTGAAACATCTACCCCGTGATGCTGAGCGCTCTGAGAGCAGACCAGAGACATAAAAACCAGCACGAATCCAAAGGTGGACTACAGAAACCCGGCAAGGGTCCGAGAGTGCCAGAGAAGGCGAGTGAGTCCATTATCTCAGATGAAGTCAGTACCGTCCTGGAGGCCCCGTGGCTAGAAGCCAGAAGAAGCGTGCTTGTATAGTCAGTGCGCCTGGGGATTTCGGAGAGCTCCGCCAACTGCCGACCACCGACGCCGAGGGCCGAGGGCACGGGCGATGGGAAGGCCGAAGGCTCTCGGGTGCTCTCAGAGCAGGGGCAGCGCCGAGCACCCAAGAGCAAAGCACTCAATGACAGCACGCCAGTAAGTACTGAGTATTGACGACCTAGTTATTCATGTTTTTTGTTTTTTGTTTTAAGATTTTCTTTTTCCTTTTTCTCCCCAAAGCCCCCCAGTACATAGTTGTGTATTCTTCGTTGTGGGTCCTTCTAGTTGTGGCATGGGGGACGCTGCCTCAGCGTGGCTTAATGAGCAGTGCCATGTCCGCACCCAGGATTCGAACCAACAAAACACTGGGCCGCCTACAGCGGAGCGCGCGAACTTAACCACTCGGCCACAGGGCCAGCCCCAGGTTATTCATGTTTTTAAACACCCACGGCCCCATCCCCTTGAATCCTAAAATAAACCATGACTCTGTCCCAGAGCAAATGACTCCATACTCTAACTGAGCGGTTGCTGGAAAGCCTGAGTCAAATTTCAGTCAAAGAGAGCAGGAGAGAATTTCTCTCAGGAACTGGACTATCAGGACTCCACCCAGACTTAAGAATAATTTTAAGCTTCCACTTAAAGTGCAGACATGCCGAACAGAGAGGAGAGATGCAAGCTGAGGAGACCCTGATTTGATACAAATATTCTACTTCCCTAACTCGTATAAATCTCCCAGTGGCAGTCTAACTCTATCACTGCACCAAAGCAAGCTCTCCACGACTTCACGGACTCTCCTCGCCACCAGCACCCCACCAAAAGGCCCCCAGGGCATGTTTTCGAGTTTGCTTCTAGCCCCAGACTCCCACCCGCCACCCTCCAGTTAGAGCCACCACAGCTTCTGACCTGGGATGAGGTCCTGCACTTAGCCAAACACAATTCAAAGTGGTCTTCGACTGCCATGAAGAGGTTCTGGAACGCCACAGCTGCCCGGTTGAGGAAGCGCTCCAGGAGAAGTTGCTATGGAAATAAAAGTTAATACCTGTCATAAATTCCAGACTCAGCAGCACAAGGTAACCTTGGATAGTTCTCCTAAACTAAGACCCTGCTGATGCCGGGCAGGGAGGGGAGAGTTCAGGCGAGCACGCGCTGGTATGCTGCTCATCAATATCTGCTTCGCAAGACAAAGGTGCATTCTGCAAAAGAACCATTCAAGCAACCGGGACCCACCTCCTTTCCCCACAGACAAACACTACTTCCCAGGAGCAATTTTTGACATCTACAACATTCCCTTCTAAGTTCCCTTCTAAGTTCTATTTTCAAAGGAATCTCACATGAAAAATCCAAAGCTCGTCATAAAATAAAGGCAGAAAGGAGAAAGGAGACGCAGAGCACGGAGCCCGCCCTACCTTGCTGGGCTGCAGGCAGCAGGAGACACAGTGCTCGTAGGCGCTGCAGCAGCCGCTGGACAGGCAGCCGTCGCAGCTGTACTGCCTGGTGCTGGGGACGCGGACATCACAGCAGCCGTTCACCAGCAAGTCCCTCCTTTCACACACGTATCCTGAAAGGCAGAGACTGACCTGAGTGTAAAACCAGCAGGCTTCCCGACCAGGTGACCACAAAGAGCAAGGAAAGTAGCAGGCAAAGACATGGAGACAGAGTCTGCAGCCCGGGGCCTCCTAAGCTCCAGAGAGCCGGAAGTCAGACACAGTGTGATGAGGGCTGCTTCCCACGTGCGGGAGTTCACAGGCAACATGGACTCCCATATTACAAGGGGGCCGCACATCCCAATCCATCTAAAACGGGCTGTCAGTCTGCCGTCCTGTACTTGATTCCATCAGCACACAAAGTCCCGCCGATGTTCTCCTGTGCTAACCGAAGGAGGCCATGCTTTCATCGATGCCTGAAGAAAAATGCCATTCTTTTTCAAACAAAAATCTGAAAACAGGGAAAACCAAGGTATTCGTTCCAGAAAGTGAGATCCTTCTAGATAAAAAACAAACAAAAAAATCCCCACTCTTTACAAATATCTTTTAATGCTTGCCATTTATTAGTAGTTTGGAGGATTTTTTTAAACAGTAGTCACACTTAATCTCTATAAATTGATTTAGCCTGTTTCTAAGTTCACACGCCAGGGATTCAGTTACCCCTCAGCATCAGGGAATGTGAGTTCTCTGCTAGCCAAGGGAAAAAAGTCCTCCTAATTCCCTCCACTCCTCATAAATCCCATCGTCTATACACACACTCCCTCCAGCCCAGGCAATCCAGGCTCAACTTTAAGGAAAGAATTTCCTTGCAAAAGCTAATTTATTGCTCAGAGTTGCTAAACAGACATTGCTCTACATTCTTCTGGGAGTGGAACAGAAAAATGTAAGAATAAGTGCATGAGGGACACCACTTGGCCCTTGGGAAACTCCCAGGTGCACGCACAAGCTCACAGGTGCACGCACGGGCCCACAGGTCTATGCCTGGGCCCACAGGTGTGGAGCAGCTGTTCCAGCCTCATTCCAGTCCAAATGCCCCAGCTCCTTAATCCTAATCCCCAGAGAAGGAGACCTGGTGAGGTTGTTTTCAGAAGCTACTCTGGAAAACAAAGTCTGTGCACAAGCAGGAGGCACCAGTAAAATAAGAATGGGAGACTGAAGGCGTCTCACTTAACTCTTGGAAAACTGAGGCCTCGAAAAGAACCAGGTGCCAGTTACCTGGGAACTGGTGTTTGTTGTTGTTTTAACTATGCCAACATTGTCTTCCAAATTAAGAGAAGATGGTTCTGATGCCGCAGGAAATGTTTCTGGAATTCTTCCTAATGATTCTTACTCATTTTCTTCACAGGGATTACAAACACACACACACACACACACACACACAAAAATCCAAATAAGCCAGTACGTTTCTCAAGATGCCACCCAAATATAAAGCAATCTTATCACCTCTGAGTCAGGAAGATGTAAAATGCAATGTGACCTCAACTCCACTTGCTGAAATGATCTTTCTGCCCTTTTCTCTTTCCATTTTCTAAGAGCCAGCATCTCAGGCCGCCTTTTCCTCCAGGTGCTAACTGCCAGTATCTGGCTGTGGAACCACAGGTCTTCCTAACTTCCGGTGAAAGAAAGCTCATCAGTTCTCCTTTTGCACCATAAATCTGCTCATGCAAACATCACCTCCACCAAGGAGTCCTGTAAGAGCCCAACCTCCGAGTGTGTTGCTATGGGCTGGGAAATTAACTTCTAACCTTTGAAAAGTTTGTGATTCTAATTGGTTGTCTTACCTAATCACGTGTTACCCTGGCAATATTTGTGGTGGCAGCTGCTTGCTAAAAGGCATAAATTCCTGCCAGTTTTCTTTATTAAACTGCTTCTCTCCTCTCCCACATCCATGGAGGTCAAATAAAACCTATGGCTCTGGGATTTTTATTGATTCCTGGAACTTTTTACTTAAGAAGTCTGGGACTCTTTGTCTCACTTGAACTAATCAGAGGAAAATTATTCTTTTGCTCACTATGACAAATTATCATTCACAACCTAACATTTCATATTAAAGTCAAGGCATAGACTACGGGATTTCTCACGGCGTATCACACAAACACAACAGTCTATAAGAAAAAAACACTGGAGCCCAAGTGCAGCCCTAGTCCTGGGTGTACCTGCTGACTAGCTGAGCCATCTTGTGGAAGCAACTCCCCTTCGCCAAACCTTTCTCTGCGAAGACAAACCAACAGGTGCTCTGCAATATTAGTCACTTTTCCAATGTGATCTTAAAGACAGAATCTGGCACTGGCACCACTGCCGAGTTGTCAGCACGTCTTTGTGCAAAAGTTTCCAGCTCTTCTACCCTTGGTGGGGGGTCCTCTGATTCCTTCCTTCAATCCCAAATAATCTCATTTGGTCTGATGCCTTTGAGATCTTTTGGGGAAAGTTTTGGTTTTTTATTTTGACGGGAATGTAAACTGTTTTTAAAAAAACAATAAGGCACCATAGTTTTCATTTTAAAGACAGCTCGTGTCTTCATTATGTTCAGCTTCCTCAGGTATTCGTGAAGATTCTAATTCAAGGTTACCTGTGTTAACGTCAGTGTTGTCATGTCCATAATCCATTTTTTCTGAGACTCTTTGAAATAGGGTAAAACTTCCTCTTGCAAACCAACCAGCCAACCAGATTATTTGCAAACTATTAGTTGAAAAAGAAAAACTAATGTGTAAAACAATCAGGGAACTCCGAACACTGTTTAGGTTGCTGACATTAAGGAGAAGTGTTACTTTTTTGGTGTGACATGGCATCCTGTTCATGGTTTATAAGAGTCCTTGCCACCCTGGGCAAGTGCCTTCACCTCTTGGTGCTGTGTCTTCACCTAAAGTGACAACAGCAATACCTACAGCCCAGAGGATGGCTGCAAAAATCAAGTGAGCTACTCCAGGAGAGCCGCAGCCCAGCGCCCCACACAGAGGAAGAGCTCCGTCAGCACAAACTGAGTACGCAGGGGCCCTCTGCGGACAGCCTGGGCCAGCCATGGCGTGGCAAAGCCCCCGGAGTTTTCTACTCCACCACCGCCCAGCACAGGGCTGCCTTTCTTACAGACTGGAAGGAAGCGAGAAAACTCTGGGAGAAAGCGCCAGAACAGACCGGTGTTTGAAGGGTAAGAGCAACACATTTTAATGTGTTCACAATTCATTTGAGATGATCCAGTCAGGGGACAAACGCATTTCCTAGGTGCCAATACTATGTGGACAGTAGTCAGGTCACCAAAGAGGAAACTGTTCTCCTAGAGTTCAACATCCAGATGAGAAGAAAAGACTGGCAACCCCTGCAAATACTACGGCTGGGAAGAGAACGGCAGGAAGTGGCCCAGGGGCTGGCACACGAGACAATGCTGAAACCATACGTTACAGGCACAGGGCCTCCGGAGTTAGAGTCATCAAAGAAGGGAGTGGAATGACAGCGAGGTCTGAAAGGCAGACACGACGTGAGAAAGGCTGGCAGCGAGCAAGGAGGAGAGGGGCAGGCAGAAAACCCCTACTACAAAACCCTCCGAGTGGTCAGAGCCGAGGGTCTCCCCGAGCGGGACAGGGAGGGAGGCGGCCTCACCCAGTTCGTCGGTGATGAGGTGCTTCCCTTGAATGGAGTTCCGGCACTGGTTGCTGGGCCGGCTGCTGTTGCCCAAGTTGAACTGCACCTTCCACGGGATGGGCTGATCGTGGTCACGCACCTGCAGCAGATTCCGGTCCCTCACGGCCCTCTCCTCCTACAAAGAGACCGTACATGAGAAGGTGAAGGTAGCTTCTTGCTTTTTCACCAATTTTTCACAAAAACAGGACAGAAAAAATAAAAAAAGCTTGTACAACGGGAATCTGCACTCCCCTGGTATGAGCAAAGACCGAGCCAAAGTCATAAAATAAAATGCAAAATAAAGCTGCAGGAGAAGGTGATAAATTAGGGAAATGCTCCAAAACTGGTACACAAATGGCCCCCGGATGACATGCACAGTAGAAATGTGTACCAAAGTGTTAATTTTGTGGAAACATTTGCAGGGAAAAAGTTTTGACCTTTTTCTTTCTGATGGCAAATCATTTAAAACTTTTTTTATATCAAAACAAATACATTATGGAATAGAATGTAAAATTTGAATATGCTTTTAAAATAGAAGAGGAAACTTCAAAGAAATTTTGGAACTGTCACTTCAGACAACACCTGGACAGATCGAGAGTAGAAGGTGACTTTCATTTCCAGTTACGAGTACTTTGGTGGTAGACTTAGGGGAACACTGAATTGGGGCTGATTTCAGGGAAAAGCGGCAGCATGTCATCTTGAAAATTTCCTCTATGAAAATACACTGAGTGTGTAACCCGTACAACCTACCCTTCTTTACAAAACACACCCTTGCCAGCCAGCTCTTCCCCTGGACATGCAAAGTAGAAGAGTCACTCTAGAGGCCAGAGTTTAGAGCCCTTCTCCTCACCTCCAAACTCCTCCAGGTCAAACTTTCAAAATCGCCTTTCCTACACTATTAAAGAAACTAAGGAGGAAGGTGTCTGAGCGCCAGGAAACCAGCCAAGCATGAGACAGTCACCTTCCAAACTCAACCTATGGCTGGAAAAGACAACAGTTACCAAAGCCTCCCTCCTAAAGGCTTTGCATACGCTGTAAACACTCAGCCGTTTCAATCGAGTTGTGTGGCTTTTACCATTAAGAACAATCTGCCACATGTCACTGCTTGAGCAAAAGGACTAACACTGAAAGTTTGATGGCAAAGGTTATATACTTTAAAACAATGGAAAAGATCTTTATATTTACTAAGATTTCCTTACGAAAGTAATCGGGGAAGAGCTGTGAAGATTTAAAACATACAGACCTGCATGCACTTTGGCACAGCAAGCACATTTTTGAGGCCTATCCCATAGAAAGTACCTGGCATAAGGATGCACCAGGATGTTCCACTGTTTCTATGGTAGAAAAGCCCTGGAAACCCCCCAACGGAGAAATGACGGCATCAACACTGGTGCGGCTCTGGCTCTCACAGCTGTGCTCTAACAGGAAGACCTCGATGCGACTGTTGCGCACTTCTCCAGAGTAGGGGCTCTTGAACCGGACTTGCACATTAGACTATGCAGGGACTTTAAAACAAATTCCCATTCCCGAGCCCAACTCCAGACTGAGTGAAAATCTCTGTGCAGGGGACCTAGGAATCAAAATTTTTAAAGCACTCAGATGGTTTTTACCCAGACAGGATTGTGGACCACTGGATGTCCACAGTATATTAAGTGAAAAAAGCAAGTTACAAAATAACAAGCATATTATCACACATAGTAATAATTACAGTAAATACAAGTTCTGGTTTGTGAGAACTGAGATAAAGGTATGGAAACATACTACAGACTATTACATGGAAGGGACATAGGTGATCATAAACATCTTATCATCTTTGGAATATTTTCATTTTTAATCTAAAATAAAATTATAAAAACATGATTATCATTAACAGTAAGAGACGCTAAGTGAGGGATCTATGGGAACTCTATACTATCCTTGAAACCTTTCTGTAAATCTATAATTACGCCAAAATAAAAAGTTTATTTAAAAAAAAAATGATTACTAACATTAAAGACAAAAATTGCCCAGAATCCCATCACTTAAATAAAGCTATCTCTATTTTTGCATATGAACTCCTAGCCTCTGACCCTGGCATTTATACAACAAATTAGGATGCTTTGCATCCAGCTCTTCTTGACACTAATTGGATGGGAAACCATTCAAGTACCTATATTATCTTGATAATCCCATTTTCAAGGCTGTATAACAATCCATCATGTTGATGCACCACAATTTAGTAAACGCATCCTCTACACATCAGCATTGAAGGCATCCCAGGTTTTTGTTGTCATACATAGCACTACAATAAAGATGTAGAGCATTTGTTTATTCTCTTGAATAATCTGTAGTAGTAATTATTATTAGAATTAGAGTCAGAGCTATAGTGTCAAATAACTTCCCCAAAGCTCTATCTACTAGTTGTAATACCAGCATTTACATAACAGTGCTCACAATGTTGCCACCACCACACCAGTACTGGATTTTGTTCTTTGATTTACTAAGTGTGAAACAGTCCTCCAAGGGGGCTTTAATTTCTATTCTGCCCCTCCCTTTTGTGTCTCTTAAAGGAAAGAAGCGGCACTAGCAAGAACAGGATGGGTTATACAAAAACAACATCTGTATCCCTCGGGCGGTGCAGGCCTTGGGAATACGGGACAAATCACTTAGGTGCACACGGCCTAACTAGCTGTAAATCCACACTCTGCTCTGCTGGGGCTGGGTCGGTTAACTGCATAATCGAGCTGCGTGCAATCTAAACTGAGCTTCAAATGTACCCCAGATGAATCGACAGCCATAAAGACTATTAACTAAGAGGCTGGTCCAAGGTACAGTAAACTGGATCTCACGACTAAGTTAAAAGTATCTTACCATCTCTCTCAAACCAGTCTGTCATTCTTCCTGAAAGAAAACAAGCGTTCAGGGACAAGTGCATCCCGGAAGGACCTCTTCCACATACCTATGTTCCTGGGAAGCAGCACGGCCATTCTCCTGGCCAGAACTTGCCTTCAAACATGAATACTCAAGACCTTCCCAAAAGGAATGCATCAGAGTTGGACAATCAAAAAAGACTGTACAAGAGATCGTGTTAAGACGTGACGGCCACTGGAATGAACAAGCACACACTCGCTTTTCTGAGGGGCCAGTCTTGAAACGGTGTGGTGCGGGGCCACTGAGGGGGCCCTTCACTGGACAGGCGGTTTTCAACCTTTCCCAAACTGTTCCACCTACCCTACCAGGTTGTCTCAATTTTAAGCTTCACATATATATACTTCATTCAAGATTCATTCAAAGGTATCAAGTTCTTACAAGGTGTTAAGGAAACAGAACAAAGGTAGTCAGGACCTCTACTCTCAGAGCCTCCAGAGCAGCTGATAAAGAGGTCAGCACAGAAATCAGAGCAATCAACCACGGCCAATGTCCACACGGGGTACGCTGGGGCACAAAGATGGGAGCGGGAACAAAAAGATGAAAAGAACACACCAGAACTTTCTTCATGAACTGTAAGGGGCTACAGAAATGTTTTTCTTGCCTAACGTATGTTACTTAACCTCTGATTTAAAAACGAGTATTTTAATAACTGTCCTGTCTATTTTTCAGGGGTTATCATAGGGCTCAAACGAAACAAATGTCCCAAGTAAGCAGTGAAGTACTGAAACACAAGGCATCGTCATTAAAAGATTTGCTTATGATTCTCAAAAAGGAAAAGAAAACAAAAAGAGATAAAGGCCAGAGGGCATCCCAAATGTCTAACATTTGGGAAATGGCTAAATTCAGCCTGATTATGGAAAATTTTAGTTATAAAAAACTATACTTACAAAGAGCTTTTAAAGATGGGGAAAATGGGTCTATGTTAAGCGAATAAACTGTATGCCCCAATTATACTGTTAAAAAGTGAAAAAGGAAGAAAATATGCCCACATATCCTCAGCAAATCCCTCTGGCTGGTGAGATGACAGGTAATTCTTTTCTTCCCCTACCCTGTGCAGCACTTTCCAAACTTTCTGGAAAATATACGGACCTTGGTGATCAGTGAAAAACGAAACAACAGATCAGCAACTCTTACAATTTATTACACTTTACTTTAGACAGTATCTAACTTGGCACCAATTTACATACTTAGTTACTTTAAAGCTGAAGATGTTATGTTTTCAAGGGGTTATGCAAACAGCCCTGAGATTTCAGAACCCCTCCTCTTGAACAAGGACATTTATTTACGCGAGAGGACCTCTAAGGACCTTCCGACTCCAGGACTGGGATTTCTTTCACCTCAGCTCAAACGCCCCCCACGGTTAGACCCACCCTGCAGCGCCAGCACAGCATCTTGTTTCGTTTTCTTTATATCACACATCATTATCTGAAGTAATTTTGCTCATTTGCCATCTCTCCCCTTTACCCTCTAGCAGAATATAGGCTCTTGGAGATAGCTGTTTGCCCCCACGGTATCTCCACCATCAAGCAGACAGTGCCTAGTGCAATTGGTGTTCACTGAACGTTTGTTAAATAAATGTGCCCAAGTCACCTGGCACCCAATCCTCTCCCCCAATGGCATCCCCACCACCGTCACTAACTTCTCCTGTGCTCCCATCTCCACAATTTTAACTATCCCCCAAAGCATTAATTAACATGAAAACCAAAGAAAAGAGGCCTTCAAAGCAGTGCAGGATAATCAGCTATTCTCTAGGCAAAAAGTGGCCGCATCTGCTCCCTGAGTTCCTCACGGAGCGCCCGAGCTCGAAGTTTCTCACAGCCTCTTCTCAATCCAGCCCAGCGCCCCAGCCCAACAGAGTCCATGTCACACCTCCATTTTACACACGAAGACCCTGAGGCTAGCCAAAGTGAAGCACACCTGCCTCAGGTCCCACAGCTCTGAGTGGCAGAGAGCAAAGCAGGACAGCACGTTCAGATGCATCTAGGAGAGCACCCAGCAGAATGGGTCCCCAGGTTCTGGTTCTAAGGACCCTGTATACTCTTAAAAATTACTGAGGGCCTCAATATGTGGGTCTACGAGGGTTATGGCTGTTGATATTCATCATATTGGAAATTAAAAATTCTTAAAACACTTTAAATAAAGCATTCACTTAAAAATAACAATAATGAACCCATTAGATGTCAACAGTTTGTGAAAAAAATGTTTTTCAAAACAAAAGAAGAAATTTAGTGAGAAGAGAAAATGTTTTTACACTTCTGCAAATCTTTTTAAAGCCTGGCTTAGTGGAAGACAGCTGGACGCTCACGTCTCCCTCCGCCTTCAGACCACTACAATGTGCTGTCTGGGTTGAAGCATATGAAGAAAACCTACTCAGAGGGACGTCTAGTTGGAAATAGGAGGAGTATTTTAACGGCTTTTCCAGATAATTATGGATAACCTTCTTTGAGACTCCATCAAGACTTGACAAGTGTAGTTTCTTAAAAGTTCATTGCAAATGGTACAGCCACCTTGGAAAACAGTCTGGTAGTTCCACAAAAAGTTAAACACTGAGTACCATATACCCCATCAATTCCACTCCTAGGACCGTACCCAAGAGAACTGAAAATGTATTTCCAAACAAAACCTTATACACCAATGTCCGTGGCAGCATTATTCATAATAGCCAAAGGGTGAAAACAAGCCAAGTGTCCACCAAGTGCTGAATGGGTAAACGAAACGTGGGAGACACACACGATGGACGATTACATATTCGGACATAAAATGCTACAACATGGATGAAACTTGAAAATACTGGCTTCTCACTGAAAGAAGTCAGACAAAGAAGAATTGTACAATTCCACTGTACAACAAAGTGTACTATTCGATTTACATGAAATGTCCAGAATAGGCAAATCCACAGCGACAGAAAGCTGCCTGGCACTTGTGAGGGGCTGAGGGGCCGAGGGGCAGGGATAGAGAGCTTATAGCTAAAGGGTTTCTCAGCATTTCCACAGCCAGAGAAATCTGCAAAACAAAAATTCAGTCAACAGTTTTAGGGAACTCACAATCATCTACCCTCTCCAAAAAACCCTGATTATAGTCACAGATCACAGGTTTTTAAAAAGACACTAAAAGAAAAAACTGGACAAGGTGCACAGGAGTACTCAAAAGGCGGCCGTAGGGAAGGTCACAGAGTAAATAGCAGCTGAGTCAAGACATGGAAAATCAGCAGGAGTGTGCCAGATGGAGAAGAAAGCAAAAGTCATCCCAATTAAAAAGATTCCCATCCGAGACTCGCTTGTTTGTTCGACCATACCTGAGTGCCTATGACGAGCCTGGCATATCCTAGCGGCTGGGATACGAACGACACAGACAAGCTCCCTCTTCTCATGAAAATTACATTCCAGGAGAGAGAGGGAGGGGATAGATAACAAGGAAACGGACAAGAAATGCTTAGTGATTCCTACGATAAAGAAAATAAAGCTAGTCTATGGACAAGAAACTAAAGTAATTTAGATTGTGTCACCCGGTGTGACCTGAGGCAGTAACAGCCTGACCTGAACTGACAAAAAAGACTCACCATGCAGAGATCCTGGCACAGAGCCTGGAGTTTTATCCGAGTGCAACAGGAACCCAAAGAATTACACAAGGGGGAGTGCCGAGATGACTTTTCAAAGATTATCACCCTACCGCCTGGTAGAGAATTGACTGTAGGACAAGAAAGGAAGCAGAGACCTGTTGGTGAGCTACTGCAGAGGTCCAGACAAGAGATGAAGGCAGCCTGACTGAGGGTGCCGGCAATGACAATCAAGAGAAATGAACAACTTTGGGATACACCGTGGAGGCAGAAGCAGTGCTTTGCATGCGAGGAGTGAGAAAGAAAAGCAGGAAGTTTCTGTGGCTTAACTACCCGGTGAACAGCAACGCCACTCCTTACTCTGGGAAGACTGGGGAGGAAGTGTTGGTGGCGGTAAAGAAACAAGAGCTCCATTGTGGGCAAGCCTGAGAAGCCTACAACACATTCAATAAGGGCCGTCAAGTGGGCACCTGGATACAAGAACTTAGGGTTTTCTGGACAGGTCTAGGCTGGAGTTATAAATTGGGATCGCAAGAGTATACAGCTGGTATTTAAACAATGGTGCCAGAGATCACCTGGGTCAGGTAGGGAGGGAGGCAGAAGTCTGAGTCTTGGCTCACTACAACACTCAGAGGTCCACCAGACAGAGAAGGGACAACATGTGATCATGAGACGGTGCCTGTGAGGTGGCGGAAAACACAAGTCACAGAGGCACTCAGTTCACACAAACGCCAAGCACACATCCTGGTCAACAAAGGAGGCTTCCAACCCTCAGCCTGTTGCCTAAGATGAGAGGACGAATGCAGTTCCCTATCAGCCCTTTGCACAGCTCCGCCCATCCGTCCGATAAAACCAGGGTGACCATATAGTTTATTTATTTTCTATGCATTTACGTATTTCACTTACGAACTTGGCCCTTGAGAGCAAACGGGGAGCTTTTAATAACCACGTCAGACCAACAGCAAAAACCAGGCTGTCCCGGCTGCTCCCCGGGGCATGCCCACCCTTTCCAAAAACCCAACGCTCCAAGTGGACTCCCAAACAAACTCACTAAGGCTCCGGGTAACAGGTCCCACCAACGCACCCTGCCTTTTCTCCCAGAAATTCTCACCTGGAAGAAAAGCGAAGGGGGCGGGGAGGCGAAAATTCCACCCACCCAAGTTATGCAGAGAAAGGGCACCTCGTGGGTCCTGCTGAGTCTCTCTAGAGGACCACGGAGCCCCTCAAGGAAAGCCACGCACACCAACGCTGGCCTGAGTGTCCGTTTCCCACGCTGAAATAGGTGGACACCACCCCCCAGGGCTGCGGCGAGGATCAAGCGAGCCATGCATGTCCCCTCTCGGCGCTGGACCCGGCGTGGGAAGCAGGGGGCGGCTCCAGATGTAACAAGAAGCGCAGCGACAGGGCCCACAGCCCCGGGTTCGAGTCCCAGCTCTGCCCCGGACGAGCAGTGCCTTCCCGCCCGGGTTCCCTCGCCCGGCCTCGGTCCCGGGACACCGCGCCCACCTTTGGGGCCCCGCGGACGGCGGAAGCTCCCCGACCCGGGCGGCACTGACCTGCTTGAAGGTGCTGGTGAGGAAGTAGACGAGCGAGAGCCCGAAGACCAGGGCGAGCACCCACCTCTTCCGCAGCAGCCGGCGCCACACCATGGCCGCCAGGTTCACCATGCCGGCGCGGACGCGGGGCGCGGCGGCCGGGGCGCGGAGCGGGGCAGGCCCGGGGCCCGGGCGGCATGGCCGCTAGGCGGGCGGCGGCCCCATAGCTCGCGGCGGCCGCCGGCCCCGCGGCCCCGGCGCAGCCAACTCCCGACAGCCCCCCGCGCCGCCCCACGTGACCCCGCGCCGCGCCCCCGCCTCCACGCCTCCCGCGTCCCGGGCCGGCCTCGCTCCGCCTCCTCGCTTGGGCCCTGCGGAGCGGCGGCTTCCTATTGGCTGAAGGCCGGGAAGGGGGCGGGCAATCGTGTGCGTGCGGTCGGAGTCGGGGGCCCGGGTCCTAACGCCGGGCCGGGCAACCTGAGAAAGAAGCCAGGGAGAGGCCGGAAGCGCTCGGAAGTCAGGTGCTCGCCCGGCCGCGCGAGCGATTGGCTTGGAGGGACGTGAATGATGCCGCTGTGATTGCTGAATTGTCTGGGCAGGTAAAAAGAGAAGGCGATTTTTTCCCCTCCAGGATGGTCAGCTTAGTCTCCTGCCCTTGCAGTCGTAGGGCGTTTTGCGCTGAGTGTTGGTTGCAGGAATGAAAACCGCTCGCGGCGTCGTACCCGAAGTGCACCTGCCTGCTTCCAGGGCGGGAATGCAGGAGATGCTCTCTTGCATGCATCTCGGCGCAGTCGTGTAACGGCCCGGGGGCGCAACTTAAAACATCGCCTACATTGAAAAGTCCAGGTGTGATCCTTCATTGGGATGTAGCGCGTGTGGAGCAGAAGGTTAAAAGGCGTTTCATTCAGTCATTCAGATGCATCCCACGTGCGAACATTTATTCCAGAATTCGATATTGGAATAATTATATACGGCCTGCTGCCAGCAGAGAATCGGAAGCCCCTTTGGAAGCAAGCATCTGAAAGTAGAATCTTGGACGTTTGATTCGGGAGGCTGTGTCAAGTTTGTGGATGGAAACTTAGGATACTGTATCTTTATTTTCCTCCACGATTTGCAGGGGATGGAGGATCATGGGGGGGGGGGGGGCATTAACGTGAGATTGCAAGTTCTTGCAAAAATATTTACATAACGCGCTTTCCTTATATATAAAGGTGGTGTTGCTGACCCATTTCTTAGCTGATTTTCCAAAATGAAAGGAGGGTTAGCTGGTGGGTTGTCTCTCTGATCAGCGGCCCTAGTAACACCAGTGCTGTCCCCTGAAGAAGGCAGGTCAAGATTAAGAGGTCATTCAACATTCAAAGCCAATTCTGGTGCCCTGAACTAAGAGCAGATACCATCTTTGGTCCTGGTACAAAAACATATTCAAGGAGGCTAAACCTCTTTGTGGAAAGTCTGTGACCTTTATTTCTTCTCTAGGGCGAAAGGTCAGGAAGGGAGCAAAGGATGTAGAAAAAGGTAACTGAGAGATCTATGTTTTACTCATGGAATAAATACTGTTGAGTGCCACTCTGTGCCAGGCAGTGTCTAGATGCTGCGGTGCAGGGGCAAACCAGGCAGACAGCATCTCTGCCTTTGCAGCATTAACATTCTGATGGGGGCAGATCATAAATCAATAAGCAAACATATAAATGATAAGTGCTATGAAGAAAATAAAACAGGGCAATGTTATGGTAGATTAGAAGAGTGAGAGAAGGCCTCTAGGAGGAGGACCTGAGGGAGCTAGCCAGAAGGAAAAGCATGCCAGGGAGAGGGAACAGCAAGTTCAAAGGCCCTGAGGCAGGTCTGAGGAACAGAAAGGCCAGTGTGACTAAAGGGGAGTGGTTGAAGGGAGAGTGGAGGGAAATGAGGTTGGGAGCAGGTGAGCTACATCAGGCAGAACCTGTAGACCGTGATCAGAGCTTGGATTTTATTCTGATTGCATAGGAAGCTATTGGAGAGTCTAAAATACGTTTTCTATATTTCTCAATCTGGTCTCATAGTTTGACAATAAACAAAATATATTAAGATGATCACCATCCTCAGGACTCCTAAAGAGGCATCAATGAGAGGCTAACCAGAGAAATGGAGTGGACAGAATCATATGCTTGTAGCTCCCATGATGCCCCAAGACTTATTCTCAGGCTCAGGGTATCCATGGACTCTTCACTTAACTGTCTTGTTCCATGCAGGGTTGGAGTCTCTGGTAAGCTCCTCTGACCCGGGCATCCTTCTAGAGAGGAAGAGGAGGAAGAGGCCTGCTTTGTCTGGAACCAGTGGTCCCATCTCCATCCGGAGCCCTGAATGCCCACTCCGGTGTCGTCAACATGGAGTTCTGAAGTCCATGTGGCTCCTCACAGTGAACCAGGTGATGTGTCTCCATGAGGATTCACCTCTTCATGACCGCTTTATTAAATGGCGGGGCTGGAAGGAAGCTCTGGGTTCAGCCACTCCACCCCTTCCCACTTGACAGATGGGGAATCTGAGGCCACAGAGAGGTTGCTGATTTGTCCAGGGCCACACAGAAAGTTTGAGGTGACATCCATCCAGAATCCATGTCTCCTAACCGCCAGTCCGCTGCCCACTTCACCTCATCCAGCACTTCTTTGCTGCACAGTCCACTGCTTTCTCCTCTCACACGAGGACTGCCTCCACCTCTGGGTCTCAACATCCTCATCTGTGAAGTGGGGTGATAACTCTTTTCCTCGGGGGACTGAATGTGGAATTGAGGGTTGAATGGCATGAGATGCAAACATGGTTTGCAAAATGTCAGCGGGCTCTGGGGAGGGGAGATCTGAGTAGTGCTTGTTTGCGGTTACCATGGCAATCTGACAGGCCATGGGAATGCCGGGCGACTCTGGCTCATGCCATGTGTTGGCTTTCAGGTCTTAAGGAAAATGCAGAGACGCCACAGCAGCAACACAGATAACATTCCACCTGAAAGGTAGGCCTCCCCTTGCTTCCCTCCATCTGAGGGCTCTGGGCTTCGGGTGGTCGGGACCCCCGAAACTGGACTCAGTAACACCTGCCTCCCAGGGCTTCTTGTTAGAAGAGCAAAAGAGATCTGACTAGAAATTGCTTTGCGCAGTGACGTATATCCCATTCAACGCATAACAGCTTGCTATTGTTCTTGTAATTCTTAAAGCCTGTGTGACCGGTGGTCCACTTGACTCATTCTATCAATGATTGTACCCACGGGATTTTGATTTATAGAGGTGACTGAGTGACAACATGGAGAGGCTAATGCCATTGAAAGAAGATTTTTATTACTTAAATTTCCCGAGAGAAGGGGGCATGCCACACCCTGCAGGGCCACATGGGGAAGCACCAGATAAGTCGGGAGGCAGAAAGAGGCAAAGAGAACGCGTAGGTCACAGCTTTTATTGTGTTTTCTGCACAAAGCAAGGCAGGGCAGGCGAACCAGCTTAGGATGAGCTAGTTTGAATAACGTGTGGACTCTGAGGTATAGGGGTGGTCTCGAACAGTCTGATACCTGGCCCTAGTGATTTGGGGCAGGGGAAATATTGGCTGGGTGGGTGAGAGTTAGATAAAGGAGGTGGTTGGAGATATTGACTGTGGATCGGAGGGGAGATCTAAACAACTTTGGCCATTAGTTTGGCCCTATAATTAGTAGATGTTAAACGGACAGATACAGAATCTCAGAAAACACTGTTAAAACACTCATGAGCTAGAATTTCTATCTAGTTAAGCCCAAGAGAGTATACACCTTGGAGACCTGTTCTCAGGTCTTGACAATCTCCCAGCCCCAGCCCCCCACCATGCTGGCACTTACATCCAAGGAGCAGGCAGCCAGGCTTTTCCTCCTGCACAGCTTATTTCCAGGTCCCCTGCAACTCCGAGGTTGGCTGCAAAATCACCAAGGGAGTCCACCAGTCCCAGCCTCGGGACGGAGTTTTGCGTCAAGCCTGCCTGTTCTGCAGGGAAGAACACTGGCCTTAAGTCAGATGACCCATGGCCGAGCTCAGCCACTTCCCACCTATGGTACCTCCCCCCTGGCCTCAGTTTCCCCATCATAAATGGCAGACAATAAAACTCGGGGTTACTTGTGAATGAGTGAATAGGTGGGAAAATGCACAAGTACAGCATCCGGCATATAATAAGCGTGCCTGTTGGAGCTTTCCAGCCTCTGAAGACAGAATTGCTGTTCACTCTCAAATGAACCATGGGATCTTTGGGGGCAGAAAACACGCCAGAAAAACCATAGCTGCTGTGTGTTGTATGCTTACTCTGTGTCACCCTCACATTAGCCTGCTGAGGTCAGGACTTATTTTTATCACTATTTTACAGATGAGAAAACTGAGGCTCAGAGAGGGAAGCAAATTACCGAAAGTCACACAGCCAGGAAGTAACAGGGCTGAGATTCAAGCCCCAGGCCATGTGTGCCCGCTCCAAAGCCTGTGCTTTGAGCCACCACATTCCTGCTGCCTCCTGTCCGTGTAGATCCACTCCTCCTCCTGGGCAGCCTCATTCTCGCGCTTAAGAGGTTAAGTTGGAAGCACAGCCTCTACCCCCACCCCCCAAGGAATATTCTTTCCCGTTTAGGCTGAAATCTCGGCTGGATGCTGGGGAGAGGCCCAGGGAAGGGAGGCCAGCTATAAAAAGCTCTTTGGTGGCTTGAGTCTTCCCTGATTATGCCAGAGGCCCCCTGGGCCAGTGAACTCCTAGCGCTGGCAAGCTCAAGGGGGCCAGGAAGGCTTTCGAGAGCCCCATGGGGCCGGCAGGGAGAGAGGGTGGCCCCCATGTGGGCCAGCGTGAGCACCTGCCAGGACTCCTGCTTTCTGCGCTCAGCTTCTTGAAGTCTAGAAAAAGCTCAAGGCCCCTGGAGGATCATAGCCATGGCGTCAGTTGTTGTTGTCATTATTAATATTATCTTTGTTATTATCCCGAACCCCAGGGAGTAGGACCACGCATTTCCCGGGCTTTTGGAGCCGCAGGGAGGAGCTGTGGGGGGTGGGGGAGGGGAGGCCATCTTCGAGTTCCCTGCCTTGCGCCAGGTTTATAACCTACCCCAGGTCAAGCGTGTGAAGCCAGAGAAGCCAAACCTGAGATTTCTCCAGACCAGCATTTCCCCTGCTGGGTTTCACAGGGGGTCTGCAAGATCTTAATAGGTTTTCCATGAAAAAAAGTAATTCTGTGGTCAAGTAAGTTTGGGAAACACTAAGTTTAAACGAAGTTAATTTTTTTCACTTGCAGGCCTTCTCAGAGTCTTTAGTAGGCTCATTCATTTATTCTTTCAAATAATATTTATTGAGCATGTTCAATGTGCCAGCTGCGTTGTGTCGGGTACTCGACATACAATGGGGAGCAAAGAATCCTGGTCTTCGACCCCATGGGGTGGGGCCCAGTCTAAAGTGCTGTCCTTGGTGCTGACTGCATGTTGGCCTCACCTGGAAGGCTCTGAAGAAATAGAGATGCCAGGGCCCACCCCTAAAGGTTTAGATTCAGTTGGTCAACACTGGGTCCGGGCACCTGTATTTTTCAAAAGCCCCTCTAATGACTGTCCCATGCAGCCAGGGTTGAGAGCCACAGGGAAGCAGTAAAATGATGACAAGGATCCGTCCCATACAGGGGAAGTTAGGGTGCAGTGGGAACAAGGAGTGAGGAGCCCGTCAGTGTCTGCGAGGTAAGGAAGGCCCCACCCAGCAAGAGAGATTGTCGCTGAAATCTGATGGATGAGCACAGGTTACCCCGGTGGGATGAGACATCCGGTGAAGGGGACAGCCTGTGCAAAGGCCCTACAGGAGGAAGCCCTGGGGAAGTGAGAAGCAGGGACATAATGAGGTTGGAGCTCAGGGCCACATAATCCAGGGTGTCCAGCAAGTTCCTCTCTCTGAGCCTCAGTTTCCTTATCTGTAAAATGGGGATGATATTAGTACCAATCTGTAGAGTTTATCTGAGACTGGGGGAGGAGTTTAGAATTGGAAGCCCTTGGAAAGCTTTTAGGGGGATAGTGAAATAACTGAATTTTGTTTTTCTAAATGCACCCTGGGCTCTGAGTGGAGAATAGATTCTACGGGGTCAAGGGTGAAAGTGGTATAGAACTCCCCGGCAGCCTCTCTCCTGCTGCCATTTTTGTGCCTGGATGGTAGCTACAGTACATTTATTAAGCACCTACTGTGTGCCCTGGGTTATGGGGTCCAGGGGTGAATGAAACTCAGCTCCCCCTTTCAGTAAGCTCATGATTTATTTGGAGTGCCTAGGGGTCTGTGGAGGTGCCTTGGGGGCCCTACTGCAGTGAGAGAAGGGACGGGGGCTCTTTGCCCCTCCCGGCGGTGCATGCATATCAGCTGCACTCCTCTCTGTCCTGTGGACTGAGTTTCCACGTCATGATGCCATTTGAAAAGAGGACAAGCCCAAGAGAAGAGAGATGGCTTCCAGGACTCTGGGACATGGTGCGCGTGGGAAAGTGCACCCAGCTCGGGGCTCTCCATTCCCTCCATGGCGCTCCCCCCGGAGATTCCTCTGAAAGAGCCGCGGAATCCTCTGCCTGATTCCCACACAAGAAGCCCATGCTTGGAAGTAGAAGAAGCAACTGGCCCTGGAGGTCTTACTTTAGGGACTAGAGATAATGGTTCCCATTCATTAAGCACCTACTATGTGCCTGTATAAAAAGAGTATTTTAAATTTGATCCCAGGAATTCTATCCATGAGCGATGTTTATGCCCATTTTTCAGGTGAGAAAACTGAGTGCTGGGTTGGTAAGGCCCCTAGGAAGGGAGGAGCTGGGGTCTGAATGTGGGCCTGTATCAAGTCTTCTTCCATCACTGTCTGCTGCCCTTCAAACACTGGCTGTGACCAAGGCTGGACCCTCTTGGGAACTGGGAGTCCCTGAACTTGAAGATCCCAGAGCCAAGGCTCCCTGGGTTCCTGAGATTATTCTAGAATCGTAGAGCTCTGTGCTTCCTTTTCTGTAAAGTATCATGGTTAAGAAAGCAGTTAAGACTAATTCTCATATCTAGAGTAAGCCTGCCTGAGTCTGAATCCCCCTTGCTCCTCCCTTACCAGCTGCGTGACTCTGGACGGGTTACTTTCTCTCTGTGTGCCTCAGTTTCTTGATCTGTAACATGCGGGTATTTTAATACCTAATTCACAGGGTTGATGGGAGGGTTTAATGAGTTAATCCATATAAAGCACTTAGAAAAGTGTGTGGCACATAGTAAGTTTTCAGTAAAGATTATGACCCCAGTGCTAAGATGATTTGTGTCAGTCTTGTGGGGCTGCCAGGACAAGGTGCGGCAGACTGAGTCGCTTAAACAACAGAAATTAATTTTCTTACTTCTGGAGGCTGGAAGTCCAAGCTGAAGGGGGGGGGGGGGGGGACACATAACGTTACTGATACTCTTACTTGCCCCCAGCCTCCACTCCCTGACTTGGTGGCCTTTCTCCTCCCTTCTGGCTCAGGAACCGCAGCCAGGCGCTCAGCCCCGAGGCGAGTGTGGATGAAGGGGGCGTCTTTGAGAGTCTGAAGGCAGAGGCGGCCTCCCCGCCGGCGCTCTTCTCGGGCTTGTCCGGCCTCCCGCCCGCCGGCCTGCCCGCCACCCCGTTCCCCTCCGGCCTGGTGCTCGGGGCCTCGGCCGGCGGCGGGGACGTCTTCATCCAGATGCCCGGGTCCCGGGAGGAGGCGGGGGGCCGCGGCGAGGGGGGCGCCTACCACCACCGCCAGCCCCACCACCACTTCCACCACGCGGGCCACCGCGGCGGCTCGCTGCTGCAGCACGTGGGCGCGGACCCCCGCGCGCACGCGGACGAGGGGGGCGACGAGCAGCCGGGCACGCCCGCCCCCGCCCTGTCCGAGCTCAAGGCCGTGGTCTGCTGGCTTCAGAAAGGGCTGCCCTTCATCCTGATCCTCCTGGCCAAAGTGTGCTTCCAGCATAAGCTCGGTGAGTCCAGCGCGGGGCACAGGGGTCGCAGCCCCGGGCTTCACCCGCAGGCTGGGGGATCCCAAGTGCCAGGGAAAGGCAGTAGAGACTCCCTCCTGATGGTTCAAAGTGCTTAAGAACACTGGGTTCTGAGTCAGACCTGGGTTCAAACCCTGCCCCACTAGCTGCGTGATTTTGGACAAGTCGCCCACCTTCTCTGAGCCTCAGTTTCCTTATCTGTCCAGTGGGGGTTATGATAGAAACTTCCTCAGCTGGTTGGTTGGTGTGAAGGAATAGAGCCATAACCCAGAGTTCAGACTGCTTGAGTCTAAACCCCCACTCTGCCCTTTCCTAGCTGTGTGACGCTGGGTACATTACTTAACTTCTCTGTGCCTCACTCCCATCATCCATAAAATGAGGTTATAATAGTACATGCTTCATGAGATTGCAGTGAGGTTAAATGAGTTAATATGCATGACACACTTTAGGACTGTGCCTGGAAGAGAGTAAGTGCTATACAAGTGTAGATTATTATCTTCATTATATTCGTTATGAATACATGTAAAATACTTAAAACAGAACCCAGCACAGAGCAAGTGCTCCATAAATACTGCTTATTGTTACTAATTTGGGGAAGTAAGACAGTGATTCCTGAAGTGCTTAGCCCCGTACCTGACACACAGTTAACGCTCAGTAAATGGCCTCTGGTCCACTGTTATTGTTGTTATTTATTGATATTAGATCACGCTGTGGCTGTGCCCTGGAGAGTTTTAGGCCATTGTCTGAGTCCTACGGCAGGAAGTATGGCAGGAATTGTCTCACCGTCTGCGACATTCCAGAAAATCTCTGTAGGAGGTTGTCTTATTTGCCCCTTTCTGGTGAGCTCCGCTGCCTCCCATCACCCCACCTTCCATTTGGGGGTGCTCGCATGTCACGCCCTCCCTTTCTATTCCCGGAAACCGAGGCCGGCGTGCGCCCCCTCACCCTGAGTTCTGGCAAACTCACAACTCAGTTTTATTCTCAAGTGTGGTCATTTTCTTTTTCAGTTGGCAGGTTGCTGGTTTGGTTTTTTAATCAGAGGAGAGTAGAAGAGAGGATGGTAGGGTTGCTAGTTCTTATGTTCTGTGTTTTCATTGAAGAAATACGTCTTTGACAAAGTGGATCTGGAAAAATCACTGGAGTGCGTGTAGCATCGACAAAGCAGAAGTGAGCTCTGAGCGTGGGGCACTCACACGTCGTGTGAACACGGAGTCCTGGTCATGAAAAGGAGGATTTGAAAATCCCTGTTCAGGGAGAATTCCCAGACTGTAGCTTGGCAAACAGTGGCAACTGAATGAATCGTGGAATAAAATTCAGTCCTGTTTCCCCATCTGCCGGGGTCATGTTTTCCTGTCAGCCAGAAATTTTTTCTTCCTTTAACATTAAACTTTAATTCCTTATGGCATTGGGATCTTTTTCTACATATATTTTTATTACAAATTACATACCTCAGGTTCTTTTTGAAAGTAGAAATAATAAAAGGCACCGTTTAGTAACTGCTAGAAATTGTGCTCTATGAGCGTTATCCTTGCACGAGGCAAGGACTATTATTATTCTGTCCCTTTTACCAATGGGGGAGCTGGAGCCCAGAGAGGTACAGTGACTAGCCCAAGCTCACACAGAGCAGGTGGCAGAGCCGGAATTTGAACCCAGGTCTTACCAGACTGCACAGCCCGTGTCCCTAAGCTGGTTTTATGAAACAGCCCCACAGTGCTCTCCATCCCATCCCTAAGTCAGAGGCCTATAGTCAGAGTGGCTCCGGGTTCCCAGCGATCTCCGTGGCGGCCCAAACGCCCCAGCAGTGGGATTTTCCCTCTCTGCTGTGGTTAGTCTGTAAACTCCAAGGGACCGGGATGGGACTTCCTCACATCGCGCCCAGTCCCTCGTCAGCCGGGGCCAGGCCTACTGAGTCTCAGGGGGCGGTTTGCACCCTCCTCTGTCCCGCAGGCATCGCCGTGTGCATCGGGATGGCCAGCACCTTCGCCTACGCCAACTCCACGCTCCGAGAACAGGTCTCTCTGAAGGTGAGTCCCCTGGCGAGGTGGTCCGCTGTGGCTGCTGTCACAAAGGACTGCGAACTTTGTGGCTTAGAACAACGCGAATTTAGCGTCTCACATTCTGTAGATCAGAAGTCTGAAGTGGGTCCCTCTAGCCTAAGGTCCAGGTGTCCACAGGCCTGCGTTCCTTCTGGAGGACTTAGAGGAGAAGCTTTCCTTGCCTTTTCCAGGCTCCAGGGTCATCCACATTCTTTGGCTCATGGCCCCTTCCTCCTCCTTTGAGCCAGCAACGTTGCGTCTCTGTGAGCATCCCCCCACAGTCACATCTCCCTCTGACTCTGCCATTCTGTCTCCCTGTTCCACTTTTAAGGACCCTTGTGATCCACTGGGCCCACCTGGACAATCCGGGAGACTCGCCCCTCTCAGGGTCTGCTGATTACAACCTTCCCTCCACCTGCAGCCTGAATGCCCCTTTGCGCTGTAACCTAACACATTCCCAGTGTGCAGGGATGAGGACGGGGCCGTCTTTGGGAGGCCCTTCTTCTGCCTGCCGCCCCTGGGCAGATCCTGGATTACCATCCTTCTCCCACACCCTTCCAACAGCAGCATCTGTCACCCACATGCCCCCGGCCCAGACCCTTACCCTCCTCGCATTCAACCAGTTCGCTTTCTTCCAACCCACCCTCACGGTGAAGGCCATCCCACTGGCGCTGCTGAGTGGACACCCCATCGTCTCGAATGCCCTCTAACATCCGCCGAGCATCAACTGTGCCCTGCACAGGGCTGGCCCATCGCACAGCTCGTCTTGCACATCCGTCCCAGCAGCCTGGGAGGGAGGCAAAATTACTCTGATCTCGTTTTCCCAATCAAGAAACAGCGGCTTAGAGACACTCAGTGTCTTGCCTAAGGTCACACTGCCTGTGCAAGTGATGGCATCAGGAAATGAAGCCAGGCATTGCACCCACAGGCTGTGCTCGCTCCAGGCTCAAATCCCGCTCCTCCATCCACCAGCCAGCCCTTGGACAGGTTCCCTTGGTGATCTCAGCCTCAGGTGCCGCCTCTGGAAAAGGAACTGCTCACTCCAGCTTCCTACACTGTTGAGAGGATTAAAGGAGACAGCGCCTAGAGATGTGCCACACAGTGCCTGGGTATAGAAACGTCTAAGTGAGCTATTTTAATAAACCTGTGCTTTCTCCTGCACACGTGATCCCGTAACAGCCACCACCCTCTTACCCTTCTTTGGGGTCATGTTTCCCAAAAGCACCTGGGCCTCCACAAGGCACGAAAGGCAGCTCAGTCTCCATTTGACATAAGAGCACGTTGAGGTCCAGAGTTGGGCATGGAGCCAGAGGTTCTTCTTGACCCTCAGTCTCCTCTTCTTCACGCAAACCCCTTTCTGCTGCTATTAGAACAGTAGGTTGGTCAACACCATAGTGGGTGGCTTTGGGGGCTGGCTGTTTCCCAAATGTGGTTGCATCCAAATGGTGCCTTGACTTGAATTTTAGGGGGCAAGAGGATGCCCATACCCCTGGACAGGCTTCCTGGGGTCCTTGGACCCTATGAAGTCACCAGTGACTTTTGCTTCTCTGTGCATATTTTCTGTGAAGGAGAGTCTGTGTGATGCTTAGCAGGTTTAGAAATCTCAACTTACTACTAGAGAACTACCCCTGTGTCCCCCAGAGTCTGGCTTCTCAGGGCGTTGCTAATTCCCCCTTTAGTTTGGATTTATGGAGTATTAAACTGGAATCCATTATTTATTGGGGTAACAAGTGCTGCCAAGTGGATTAATCACACTGATAAGAGCAGTTGGTTGGCTGGAGGTGGTTGCCAGGGTCGTTAACCTTGACCGCTCCTGAAATAATGGGTGGATGGAGATGCATTTATTCTGTCTGCTCTGTGGAAACATACATCCTAACAGTGCGTGGGGCACTGAGCCGTGTCTGGAGACGGTGGAGCATTTACCGAAACCGCAGGGAAAGTTACACTGGGAAAGTTATGACCTCATCTCTTCCAGCAATGCAGCCGCCCTGGTCCAGGAAAAGACGAGCCGTTGAGAATCAGCAGCTCGGGGGTCTGTGTGTGTCTCCCTGGGTCCACAGGCGGGAACACGCCTGCTCCGCGTCTCCTCCAGAAATTTCCCAGGATTGCTCTCAGGCCGAGAAGCTACTGGGAAACAGCAAACGGAGAAGGTTTTCCAGCTTGTCTTCCTGGGGACTAAACAGAAATGAGGCTGAACAAAGAGAAAAGAGGCCGGATGGTGGATGGCTTTGATGGCCGTGCAGACGACTTTGAATTTAATCCTGTAAATGTGGCCTTCCATTGAGCGATCAGTCCAGGGCAGTTGCCCAGAGGGCTGTGCTAGAAAAAGGAAGAACAGAAGTTTCCCACCTGTAGATCCTGAATCTACTGCCGGGTTGTAAAGTCTTGAATAATAGGTCCTACCATTTAGCAAACGTGAAATACGAGCCTGTCCCAGACCGAATGTTTTACATTTATAGATTTTACTTAATCCTTAACAAAATCCCCCTTTTCAAATGAGGGCACTGAGACTTAAAACATGTGCCCTTGAGGAAGAGTTACTTCTCTGTGCCTCAGTTCCTAACAGTAAATGTGGACTGACGTTGAATACATGCCAGGCTCTATTCTAAGC